AACCAAAATCTCGTGTACATTGTATGTAGGTTTATCTAGTATTGTTTAGAATAATTATCTTGTAATCCGAGAGTAGATTTCAGGCCAAGGTTGGAATATAGTTCTGCAAATTGGACACTGCATACATGTACCGCTATATTAGGTTATTTCATGGAAATGTTTCCAGGAAAATAAGTCCTGTTAGATGTCGTGTACGCGGATCCTGTTTCTTCGAAGACAATGTATAATGTGCTTTCAGAACAGGATGCCGAAACGTGACAGTCTCTATTTCCATATTTTCAAAGAAAAATTGTTTTTCCTGTTTAGAATCGTCCCGACATACATTGAACGAAGACTGTCACCAGTTATTACTGAGATATTCGGTCCAACAACAAGCGGTATATTATATTCCTGAGTAAGTAATTATATATACAATAGTCGCAGATGCATATTATTCAAATTGTATGCATGAATTGTTTTAATCAAGACAGGAAAAATCGGTAGCAGTGGATAAGCACAGCTTCCTTCTACCTTATTGTATGGGGTTATCCGAAACGGGAAGGCGCAATATATTATCATATATATATATAGAGTAATACAAAACGTTACGATTTTTGTGGTACATGTTTAGTGCAGCTTGTTCGTGTCCTCATACAGCATAAACTTTACGTTCATAACCATGACAACATCAACATAAATTATTTTTTTAAATATTATGATAACAACGACCTGAACAGTCTGCACCTTGGGGCTTAATCTTTGTGTAGTTAAGTAAAACGTAGTGTCCTGGATTAGGAATAATTACAATGATACCTATTCGCTATTTTTTTAAGAATATTGTATATATTTTTGTCGCCATTGTCTCAGTCATCTATACGAGTAAATGTATAGCCTCTCTCAGTGAACAGGTCGCCGCGATATGTATAACATTTCGGCGTTGATAGATTCAGAACAAACGTTTAGCATCCGAGTTGTGTTCTATGCCAAGAAATGCAAGCTTCTTTTTCGTTATGTTCATGGAAGTATGTAACACTTTTTCCTGCAAAACCACCTCATTATGTCTTTCTCTTCCATCGAGATTTCAGGTAAAAACGTTTCCATGACAATTATTTATGTTTTTGTTTGATCGGGAGCAGCATCGTCTGATGCTTGAGTCGTGTTTCTTTGGATTACACTTGCGACGTCCCGTCGCGGCGCCGATCCCGAATTCCTTTAGACAACAGCCCAGACAGGTGAAATACATGCGGGTGGTGAAATTATGAAGCTATAGGGAACCGATTTACAATTGCTGAAGGATACGTAGCGGGGGGTCCTGACGACCCGGATTTCTTGTTTACATGTACCGCTTTTTGGGATGGTTTTCTAACTTCCTTTAAGACTTCTAAAGACTAACTGAATTTAAAAGTTTTTCGGTAGTTTCAGATAAAGATTCTGACATCTTTCGTTTGATTTACCTGGTAAATACTGGGACAGAAGTTTCTATTTCTTTTGAGTGCTATGATAACTACGCTGATATGATTTTAGGGTGTTTTTTAAAATATTTTTTAGTATTTCTTGTTTAGGTTTGTTTTGTTTGTTGTTTAATGTGGCACCCAGCACTATATTCCAGCTATATGACGGTCTTTTGTGGGGGGTGGGGGTGTTGGAGTTTGGAGTTTTTTCGTTTGTTTTCGTTTGTTTTGAGATCTTTTTTTACGGCCGAGCTCAGCAATGATCCAGCTTTATCACGGAAATCAGTTAAAGAACGAATCTCGCACTTTTAAGTAACAATGTGCATTCCAATAGTGTTTTAATTTTAGAGCTGCATTAATGCTGTATGCACCTCCAGAATATGTCATAAAATATGTAATAAAAGTATGTATAGCACGAGTGTAGTATTTGAAAAATAATATAACCCCAAATAACCAAAATCACATTTAAGGGAAATCTAGTTTTGAAAAAATATGTCATGATAGTTTGAATTAAAATACACAGATATCTGAACAATCGTGCATTTTGCGACAGTGTCATTGTAATTTCAGACTGATAAAGCTGTTTCAAGGTCTCGCTCGCCGACACCCAGCCACATAATTCCTGACCCAGTTTCAGCCAATGAAACCTTTTTGTTGAAATTGACCCGCTGCGATTGGTTGTAAGGAAATCACGCGCCCAGGGAGTGCACGGTCACGCCAAGGTCAACAGAAATGACCATTGGTCATCGCGTCTGGAAAGAATTCTTTCGGACAATTGGAAAAAAATAAGGATGGGCAAACTGTGGGATATTTCAAACTGTTCAGGGTTTCGAATTTCTGCTGAAATAGTTGTAAGTTTTGCTTGGCAAGATCGTTCTGTCCCGTTCGTTTGGTTTGGTAAGGATTTCAACAGAACTGAAAGCAAAAATTCCTCACGTCTATTCAGTACATCAATGAAAATATAAGAAAATAATTTAAATCTTTCTTAATATGCAAAAATTTCTTACATCTAAATATCCCCAACTTATGTTGTACGAAAATATAAAATGTATTTCATCAACACTTTTGAGAGGACGAAACTGACTTGAGATAACGAAACTGACCTAACACATTTTATTTGAAATATGAATTAACGAAAATATCACCATGAATGATCTAAATATCTTCTATTGGTATGTGTTTGATCACAATGTCAATGCTTGACTAGCCAGAACGTCTTTAACAAGAAGGACGCAAAGCATTCATAGTCATAATGCTTCAAACGTATCTATTATACTATACCAGAAAGAAAAATCTTGACACATAACAAATTATTCTGAACTCTTTTCAATATTGAGTAAAATAATTTAAGAATAAACTGCAAATAACGATATGCGGCATTTAAAACAAAATGGTCGGCACAACAGATTTCCTTTAAGCCGGAACCTACATGAGAAGGTTTATCTTTGATGTATATATATATCTATATCATTGAAACTTAACATATATCAATATATTTCTGGAAGAGAATAACTAATATATTTATGTTATATCCCGCTTTCCCATTAACCGTTATGTGAGAATAGCATAAACGTTTATAATGTACGTTGTAATATTCACCTACCTATATTGTTTCATATTTAATATAATGCTCACGGCCATGATGCTAAATTATTAAATGATATTATAAGGTGAAACACATTCGTTCCTCGTTCTACAAACTACAATAAATGTCAAACACTTTTGTCTGTAACACCTTAAGGAAATGACTTGAAAATACAGTTTGTCTTTAAATGGGGATTTTCCCATCCATATTGAGAAATGAACAAACGGTAAAATTAATATGAGTTCTAGTCAAGTAATATTTATAATGACAACCTCTGGTTGCTTATCTCATTAACAGAATCGTCAATTTCATCTTCGGAATACATCTCAGAACGGCATTTGTACAAATATAAACGACAAAGGCATTTACTTAATGATAAGAAATATAAAAACAGAGTCGATTGCATGTGCTATCCCGACTAAATCGTTAGCATGAATTCATCATACTATCAAGCAATGATAATTCCATGAGGCCGCAACAAGATGGGCTCATCCAGCCCCATCGGTGGCACCAAACAGGAAAATAATGTACATATATGAGTATGAAGTAAAGGAATTATTTCAGAAACGAAAAACAACTATTTCCAAAACAGTGTGAGAATATTTCCATCTGTGCCGGTGTATAGTACTTCTGTTCCTTATTCGAATAAATATATACACATATCGTTGTAATGCTCATCAAATATTCGCCATGAACAGAGGGCGGGTAAAATGATAATTTATGCACGCGCTAGCGTACATTAAGACATGCCGTAAATATTAAACAACAACAACGTGTGCAGCTAGTTCTAATTATATAATTCAATATGGAATACAAGCGCAGCAATGACTGAAAAAACAAGTACGTATTGTTTCCATAAAACCTCTCTCGACTATAGCGCCATCAAAGGTTAATTCAATTGACTCAGGTACAGGTGAAAAGTAAGAAATAAATCACAACTGCTCTATTGTCAGTTGTCTCTGAACAAACATCAGTTCCAAATATCTGAAATGGTACAAGGATCTCAATAGTAAATGATCCAGTAACTCTGTAACGCATTACACTGAGGTGACTACGGAAAGCTTCATCGGTTACGTAATGAAGCGCTTTCATAAACATAATCTATGCTAACTCGTCAAAGCTTCAAGTATCTTATAAAATTGCATGACAATGTCATTGAATCATCTAATTTGAAATAATACAACTCATTTTCCTAAAAAAAATGAAACAAAACATCTAACCTTTAGTCGTTAGCGTTCTAAAGACATAATGAAGTGTTTACTTGCTTGTCACATCCAAGTAACCAATAGCCGAGGGTGACGCATGGGGGAGGCAGCTTGAGGATCATGGAAGACGCAATTCGATGCCGTCCCGACACATACATGTTTACATTTCGATCATGTAAAAAGTTGTTGTCATCACAAAAATACACTTTGTGTGCACCATCCTTTATATTTCCTGTTTGTAAAACCCGGTGATGGTGATAATCACTATGAACCCTACCGACGCAGTTTCTACCAACGGGTTGTTGGGATTGGTAAAATCTGGCGGGTTAATTATGGGGAAAGGGCGCGAGATGCCATCTTTGACCCATCCCATACCTCTGAAATAGGTGGTATAAGGGTTATTAACCCAGATTTTGCAGACATTTGCTTTGTGTTATCAAATCGCAGCGGAACATAATACAACTAAGTTCCAAAACAAGGTTGAAAAGTTTAATATTTATGCAACAACAAACAACGATTTCAATGGTTGATATAACTGCAAATAGTTTGAGTGCACATTCTGATAAAGCACATGCAAAAATGTTATAAGGTTAACAATGATTTTGCAAAAAAATATTGCAAACATTTTTCGTTAATATCCATGCTATGTATGTAAGAAAGGGAATGACATTTTTTCTGAACATGGAATAACACGTGGGCATCAAAAATGTTAACGAATATTTCAATAAGAGCGAAGTAAATTTATCAAAGGTGTGAAAATGTCTGATTTTCTGTCTGTACCTCGTCTTTGGTGGGCGCCGTGAACTCGACCATGAGCTCGTCTTTCCCTTCAGAGAGGCGGCGACTTTGTATTCGGCATCGTAGTTCTTCCTTCAAAAGGGGAGTGAGACGCCCGCTCTCTAGGGCGGCATAAGTCGCCTTGACCAGTGTCAGGTCGTCCAAGTCGCTCAGCTCCTGCATAAATGCTGCCGTGGTCAACGACGTTGACTCGTGCACGTCCACACTGCTCGCCATCGTCATGGCAGACACGCTTTTACTACGATCAGCTGGGGGCAAGACGTGTTGTGGTATTTCTCAGCTCGAGCCTCGAAGCAAATGGTTTCAGCGGAAAATAAACGAAATAATTCGAAATTCAGCTGCGAAAAATTTCTTTTCCTTAAAATATTGATTGTTGGCTATTTATCAACGATAATGTATCCTTTTTGGTAAGTTTGAAATTAATATTTAATCAGAATAAAGCAAAGTTCAAGATAATGCCTTCTAAGGTGACGTCACCAGTCCGAATTAGATAGAGCTATTTTTAGATTCCAAACAATAACATTTTGCCTTGCTCGCGTTGTGCTAAAAGAATGACATCACTATCTCCTCAATCGGAAATAAATTAATTCCTCGTGGTCGACGCGAGCCTAAACACTTCGATGACCATTCCGGCTTTGCGACACCGTGGCGACGATGTAGGGGAGACAACTGAACTGACACTGTAGGCCGTTCCCCACCTCACTACTTCTGTTGACAATATGCCAAGTACTTCTTTATGACCCATGAATTGATCGAAACTAGTAAATATGCACGCCATATTGTTGGAATGATGCCAACCTTGCAATGAAATTAGACCCCTAATTTGACAATCGCCTACTAATGGTATTATTTTATTCCACTTAAACTTTTCCTACAGCCAGTCTGAGCATTGAGCAATATAGCCTGACTTTTGCCCGTCTCCGTGGGACTATGCTTTACTGAGGTATACATCAAATGTACTTGTCTAGACGTTTAATAACCTCTATATACACTGAGCAGTACGGCGCTCTCATTATTTCTCATAGAGAGGTCAATTAGAAAGTACATCAACTTCTTTGTAGAACGATCCATAACACAACGCATTGACTCATTTCATACAAACGATTAGGCTAAACAGCCGACTTACCGGCAAATCAGATCAGCGAGAAGCCCGCGGAGCGCCAAGTACAACGTTCCCAGCCCCGTCGTCCATACCTCGACCCCTGCACCACAAATAGACCTGTCTGCTTTTTTTGTCTGCCATGGAAAAAAACGGTATCCACATGTTGAAAGGCACTGCTTTAGCCGTCGTCCGAGCCGTATACCTCTATCCGGAATGACAGAACGACAGACACTGAATGAAAGAGAGAAGGAGGGGGCGTATAGTGGACAGGAGACCAGTCGGCGTTACCGGTGAAGGAAGTATTGCGTGTAGGATGGGCAGTATTTACGAGGAGTGGTACTTGCACTAGCGAGCGCTGACTCATACTGTCTTCTGGAAACAAGGAACCACATTGCCGCCAATATACCAGCCAGCATTCCCCTAAGTCCCTGACAGCTGTGTACGTCTGGTCGCATTACGTAGTGAATGTGTATGCTCAGGATCCGGATTACGAAGGGCTGGGGACTTCTCCATATGCCGTCGTCGGCAGCGACAGTGCTTCATGATTCGATTATACTATATTGCGTGCTTCGATCGTGTTATATCATCAGCTGTGATCTGTCTTATAGTATTCTCTGCAGCACCTGTGTCTATACCGTTGGAGACAATGGTATGTTAAGAAAGGTACCAGGATTTTTAAAGTTTTGTAATCTGGTTGTCAGTGAGTTTGCGGTTAGTATTTGACAGCCATCATAGGCAGGCGTAATTATCGCAGTAGTCAGCAAGTGCGGCCGTATTGATCAATGAAATGTGTGTCATGTATATACAGTGGGCCCGACTAACAGCAATGACACAGCACTCTCACACAGGGCAAGTATTACATCGGTAGACAATTTTTTTTCCAAGACGAAAGTAAATTTCCTTGTTTTTTCGCGGTCTAGGTTTTTTGTCTGTTTTATGAGTGGAGATACGCGCGTGTGTTGTCGTTAGCGAGAGAGCGCGAGAGGTGGCTATTTATACTAGGATACATAACAAGACTCAACATGTTGCCGTGGTGCTCGGCCATCGACAGACGCCCAGTATAGATCATCACGTCATTCAAGGGAAGTAACTCGCGTTACGTACAGCTGGAAGATCTCGTCAAGGGAGCATCTCAAAGATAGCTTAGAATGACTCATCCCTTCATTTAGACACCAGAGGCAAGCTTCCGTGGCCAGTATCGACCTAACTCTTGTTTGACGCGATCGGGATTACTCGCGTCCACACAAACACCATTTATTCAAGTGTCGAGAGAAATATTAAAACCTCACTTACAATTCTGTCAATTAACACCTAAGTACCTGTATATTTAGTTTCAAATGCGACTATAATTCTATCCGATGTTTATACGAACCCTGAGAGGTTATATTTATGGTGCTGACGATCAGCAGTAATGCTATCGCAGTGACCTTGCTTTCAATACCAAATGTACCCAGTTATTTATACATTAATTTTACATACAACTCATACTCATAGTGTTTCAAAAGTCATATCACCAGAATCTTCTCAAAATAAAAAATCATCAAAACATATTTACCCTAACAATGTTATAAACACTTGCATTTATATATTTAATTCTAAAAATATATTTATTGACATTTTTAATATTTACATTATTTCATTGTAATTAAACGGAATTATAGTCCTATATAGATGAATTCCGTCGCCAAATATTAATTACATATTTGTTTGATAACCTGGTGTAAGATTTGAAGTGAACACAGTATACGTGCGTCAGTTGTTCCGCCCTCCCGTGATAATATCAACATGATTTCATAAGTCACATACATATGTTACTATGCTTTGTTTGTTGTTGACAAACACACTAATCTGAATGTTGTTTAGGGTGTCTATTTCAGAGGTCTTGCTGATCAACAAATCTAATTAATGAAGCAAGTTACTTACAATACTTTCGCAATATGTATGTGATGTGTATATACTCACCATGTTCAACCTGGGTGTTTTAAATAAGTGACTTTCAACTACAGACAGATTAACAAAATACTCCAAGGAACCGTTTAGTCGATTATGACAAAATTCAAAGGATTCATACACATTATCTCTACACTGTGTGTGTGTCCCCTTTTATGTGCGTGTGTGTATGTGTGTGTGTTTGTTATTTGCTAATTTAGTTGCAATATTCTCATTTTAAAAGTACTTTTATTTATTTATAATGAAGAGATTTACTTTGTTATACAGAAACTGGAAAAACAAATCGTACATACTGATATATAAGCAACTGTTCGCGAATTCATGTATATAATATACAGGTTTTACCACCTGATGGATACACTTTAAGTACAATTTATTATTTAGATTTCACCAATGTCTTAGGGTTTAGTATAACTTATATTTTAAAATATAAAGTATACTTTTTCACCATTTAGTTTTGTAATTCCTATTACACAACAAACACACATTTAATCCCAGTTAATCCCCGTATATCTAATTCTTTACCGTTATCTGACAAACAAACAACTCATTTACTTTCTCTTCTTACAATTTAACACAATTGTAAACAGTTTTACAAGAATATGTTACATCAATCCATCATCCCAAAGTTCGATTTCCGCGATTTAATGTTGCATAAAGGTATTCATGAATATGTCGGTTGTGTTCAATAATCTTGCACCAGTGATGACCATCTACCATCCAAGGCATGACGTTGCAAATCACATCCCCAACAGCTCTGTCCTTGAAGTGGGTCAGTTGTATATTTAACACTCTAGACACCGTATTTTGCTGTTTACAAAATGAAAAAGTTGGAAGAATATTTTTGGAGGATAAATAAAATTTTACCCACGTGGCTTTGATGATAAAATATATCAACACCTTTCGATACGAGTCTCGGAGATTGTAATATATTTGGCCATCCGGGTGTGATTCTTACTGCGTCCAGATGTGTTAAATGTAGTTATCTCTGTACTGTACACTTTTCTCCTTACCCACATGATTTGCTACTGATGCAGCGGGAATTAATACTCCCTCCATTCTCTTTAATACGTAACCCGTTCATGCAAGTGATGTGGAACAAATGTCCTCAATTGAAATAGACATATAGGAGACGTGAGAGAGTGATTTTGTTGTATAAATATATATCGATATATCAACGCCAAATTGATCAGACTGATCATTGTCGATAAGAGGAGCATCGAACCACACTGTCGGATCATATGCATAATTACAGCTTAAATCTGCGCCTTTGATGGGCATGGGCCACTGGAGTTGGTGGTCGAATCCACACACACACACACTTGTAATTTAATTTATTGCGGATTTTTAGTAGGGCGCATTCTGTGTGTTTCGTAGTGTTGGTTTTGGGTCGAGGGGAGTTGCGGTTATGAAGTGAAATGTCAGTGAACTTTCAGTTTCCATTTCTGTAGGTAGTACAAGAAACTATATTTAAAAACACGTTTATGAACACAACAACACTTTTGAAACCTCAGCGGGATAAGATCGTGCATCTTGTTGATGTATGGCCCTTCAGCCTGATGCGGAGACTCGTCACTAATGTCAGGTTTCCGCGTCACTATCAACTTATCTGGGTTTATTTATACAATTTTATGCTAATAGTATTCCAACTCCGTATAAGCTCTGGCGGCTCATGAATCTTATTTGTACATCTAGTTTCAATTTATGTTATATACATCGTATCTATATTTGACTTACTGCCTGATGACTGCACTTTACCTAAACATTTCCACGTCATTAGGGTAACCACATAATGGTCTGCATTTTGTCTGACCATGTTAAACTCTAAACACGTTTAGATTATGGGGATGTGTTTAGGTGATGACAGCACTTATTTAAAAAGGTCACATGCAACCAAAAAATCAAACATAATTAAAACACAATTATCACTTCTTCATGACATATAATATGCATTGCTGATTATGAAAAAACAAATAAACAAAATTATAAGCGTATAATCGCAAATCAAAAGTGCAATATTTTGTACTTGGGTTTACCTCCCTCGAAACGAAGCAGCCGGGATACCGAACCCAGTCAAAAGGGGGTGTGTGCACTCAAGTGTAACGGCTGGTTCATTTGCAGATGCCGCCTTCACGGCTCATTGTGTGTGTATATATAGAGATGTTGGGTTTTGTAAATACATGCTCATTTTTTGTGTATAACATTTTGCAATCAACAGACATCATAACATGTCATGTGTTCAAGTATCACACCTGCCTGTCTGTGTAATTACATAATGTGACAGAGACCGAACTCGGGCCATAAACAATGCGTTTTGTTTATGGTGTATAGCCTGATTGGTGTTAAGTTCGAATTGCATGTGGTCAGTGATAGCAGCTGTGTATTGAATATTGTCATTAGCAGACAGGCAGGCAGACACACAGGTGTCAATAAAACAAGACATTGAGTTTTGTCTGTGACAACGACATATCTATATCACAGTTAGAAATTGTGTCAACGCTAAATAATGACATTGCTTTTAAGTATCGAACTGAGAAAGTGACTCGGTAAGAAGAACGTGTGGTGAAATAGACAAATGAAATTATATAAACAGTTAATTTACTGTCATAACATATAAAAAGCTCGCGCCTGTGAGATATCAACAAAACATTAGAAAAATAGCTCACACCAAAGCCTTCACCGAGTATTCACCCGACAACCCGCTTCCAAGCTGCGCGAACCTATTTACTTGCGCACGTGTTATGAGCGCAGCCCAGCTGTTGAAACCCGTTTTCCCC